TGGGAGCCCCGGGGTCCGGCCCCCCGAGCACAGCCCCGGGGAAGGCCGATTCCGCTCCTGCGGACCCGACTGAGGACCGTGCGGCGGCGCCCGTCACCTCGGGTGTCCTGCGCTTCCCCTACGCCGCAGAGCCGCGTCCCTCAGATACTGGGAAGCCGTGTCGGAGTAGGTCCCTCGCTCTTCCTTTCTCATTTTTAGTTGTAAGCGTTTAAAAAGAGACACAAAAACCTCTTCACAGGAGCCTACAACGTAAGGTAAAAGTGCCTGAGTCATAAACTGGTGATCTCACCAGAGAGCTCCTGATCACCGTTACCCCCCTAACGGATGTTTCTCACAGATACGCACACCGCTTTAATTATATCCCTGGTGTATTCACTTAAAATGTCCATCACGGGCAATTTTTTAGTGGGTGTATTTTTTGAAAAGTAGTTTTGGGGGTCATTGTCATACATGCATCTGGGGAAAACTCAGATTAAAGGGCGAGCCCCTCCGCACCCCCTAGCCAATGACTCGGTTTTTAGGTGGGTCTCTCGCAGAAAAGGCTCATACACAGAACAGGGCAATAAGCGTTTCTGTCCGCCACATCTCTGTCTTTACAAAGTGCCTTTGACCCGTTGTGTTTTCTAGATAGAGTCTCTTGGAGAGCACGTGACAGACATTTTGTTTGTTTGTTTGTTTAGGTTTTCTGAGGCAAGGTCTTACTATGTAGCCCAGGCTGGTCTCAAACTCTCAGTGATCCTCCTGCCTCAGCCTCCCAAGTGCTGGGATTAAAGGCGTGGACCAACGCGCCCAGTTGAACGTGACACTTTAAGTAGTGGTATGTGTAGTATTTCCTGGGATGCTGCTTCTTGATGTATCTCACTTATCATTTTTTGCCAGACTTTCAGGTAGCCTTTGACTTTTGCTGCTATGAGCAGCAGTGTAACAAAATACTCTCTGCGTTACTCTGCTCAGACTTTCTGTCCACTTCTGAGGGAAGCTCCTGTTACTTCACACTGGCCCTCAAATTGCCCGAAGCCAAAGAATTGATCAAAGTAACTTTAAAAAAACAAAACAAAAACAAGAGTTTAAAGCCTTGTTATTACCCTCTTAATAACTGTAGTTTTTGTTTGTTTGTTTTGCTTGTGTGTTAGCGTGTTTGTTTTTTGGCAGTGCTAGGAATCAAACTCAGGCAAGCGCTTTACCACTGGGCCACACCCCTAACTTACCCCGCCCCCTTCTTGTAGTTCTTAATCTCCCCTCCAGTTGGAGCTGGAGCCGCATGTGGGGGAGGGGAGGGGAGGCCCTTGTCCCCCAGGGGTCAGCCATGTCCACACCGTTCCCCAGCATCTCATCTTCTCACAGAAGCGAAGCATACTTCCTACCCAGTAATCCCTCCTCTTCCACGCCTCCCATCTTGGGCTCAGAAAGATCACTCTGCTCAGCCTAATGGAGGTGCTCCCTCCTACTCCTGTGTGCCCACGAGGGAGCCACTGCTATTTAGAACAAAGTACGTGCTTGGAAAGCGGTGGGCGGAATTTTGTGTGCACCGGGCCCTAGGGCTCTCCATCCGCTGGGAGGAGTCTCATTTCATTCTGCCCTCAGAAACTCAGAGAAATCATGGAGACTTGGTCTTCTGCTAGCTCCCGAGGTCTTTTTGTGCTTTGTCTTGCAGTGTGTGCAGCAGATTTCTGGTATGCCTGGGAGAAGGAAATCTGAGTTAAAGAGGACTTCTCCATGTGCATAGTAGCAGGCGAGCTAATTGGCAAATTTAATTTAGGGAGAGAAGCAATGAGGCCAAAGAGACACCGGAATGGGGCCTGTCCACGTTCAGAGCAGGAAAGCGCAAAGCAGCTACCATCTCCAAATTCAAAATTATATAAAACTGCAAAATGAGTCTTCTGTTGTATCTGTCATTGAAATCTGCAGTCCTGTTTGCATTTATCTTGAGTACCCAGGAAGCTGTCCTATTAGTTCAGAAAAAGGAGGCATGGCCTAAGAAAACATACCACTAATAAGAAAAATGCCAGAAACCCTAGTGGCTCAAGTGGGAAGTCCAGGCATCAGAGAAATGAGCAAAAGAGACAAGCGAACGAAATAGTTAGAACTCCTTTTCCCCTGTTACGAGTCCTAGTGATATAGGACCGTGGTTTCTGGGGAACCATGCTGTCTATCAGGGAAATGGCCCAAATGTGTGACTTCAGGGGCTGCTCCCAGGCCAGTGAGAGCCATAGGACAGCATGGGGGACCTGGGAGACAGATGTCCCTTCCTCCATTTTGGATTCAGGAGCCATTTTAGATTCCTCCATTTTGGAATCTGGTGGCAGGGGCAGTTACCCTTCTCTCTGCAGAGTCCAGCCTTTTGGGATCAAATTTGTACACCCCGAGAGGCTCTCCTTCCCTGCCATAACTGTATTGTTCTTGAATGGACTTGGGTAGGACAGAAGGAAAAGGCATCTTTAATCAAAGGATAGGCTAATACCAAGTTCACGCCATCAGATAATGGAGGCCATTTTCTGAGGCTGGGCACGTGAGCTGAGGCTAATTGCAAGAGTTGGGCAGGTTGCTTCATTTCCCTACTGTAAGAAGAGGATAATAACAGGTAACATTTATAGAGTACTTACACAGAGTAAGTACTTTATTCATGGATGCATTTCATCCTCTGAGTCTAATGAGGAAGCATAATTATATTGTCTTTATTTTATAGATGAATGTGGTTCAGTCAGATCATTCAGCTAGAAAGTGGTAAAGACAAAATGTAATTCTAGGGCCGGGGATTTAGCTCAGTGGTGCCACTGCCTGCCTCACAAGTGCAAGGTCCCAAGTTCGATCCCTGGTACTATTAAAAAGGAAATGGAATTCTAGACCAGGGGTTGGCAGTTACAAGGTGAGGTTCAATCTGGATCTGTCAGTTTTTGTAACTAAAGTTTTATTGGAAACTAGCCTTGGTCATTTGTTTATGTACTCCCAGGATCCCTTTGAGCTACCATAGCAGAGACACTATAATGGTCTGCAAAGCCCAAAATATTTACTATTTCTTTACAGAAAAGTTTACAGGTTTGTATTGTAGATGGCCCAAAAATGTACTCTTTGCCCCATATGTCTTTCTGCCCCGCACCAAAGTGCCGCATTAAAAAAATACGATGGCAGCTGGGCGTGGTGTGCACGCCTGTAATCACAGCACTTGGGAGGCTGAGGCAGGAGAATCACTGTGAGTTCAAGGCCAGCTCTGCTACATAGTGAGTTCACTGTCAGGCTGAACTACATAGCAAGACCCTGTCTCAAAAAAAAAAAAAAAAAAAAAGGTGATGTCAACCAGGAAAAACAAAGCTGAAATGTCAGAAATAATAACAGTTATTGAAGAAAACATTAGAACACCTGAATCTACTCAGGAGTCCGAATGTTAAAAAAAGTCTCCCCCCAAATTGAACGTGCTTACATCTTAAATTTAAAACTAAGTGAATCTTGTTGCCTTACCAGTTTTGACAAAACTGCATAGAAATGCTGATGAAATCCAAAGTATTTGCTAGGAAATTTTCCAAAATACTAAAGACATGGAACTTAGCTTTTCAGGAGTCATAAAAATAATTTTTTCATATATGTTATTTTTATTTTTATTTTTTTGATTTTTTTTTAGATAGGGTCTCACTATGTAGTAAGACTGACCTGGAATTCACTGTGTAGCCCAGGCTGATCTTGAACTCAGCAATCCTCCTGCCTCAGCCTCCCGAGTGCTGGGATTACAGGCATGTACCACCATGCCTGGCTTCATGTACTTATTTTTAAGCCTGTGGGTTGTCTCAGTTGTCCAAGCATGAAGCCCAACTACCGCATTTAAGTCTGATGTTTTGGAAACTGAACACTGGAGAGTTTGGAAATTGATCCCTGTTGCCATGGAAACTAAAAATCTTCCAGGCTGCACTATGGTTTAGTTTTTTATTTTTATTTTTAATTCTTTTCTTAAAATGTAGTATGAGGGATTGAATCTGGGCCCTTTGTGCTGAACTACATTTTTTTAAAGTTTTTTTTTTTATTATTTTTATTTTAAGACTGGGTCTCTAAGTCACTAAATTGCCCAGGCTGGGCTTGAACTTTTGATCCTGCTTCCTCAGCCTCCCAGGGTGCTGGCATTAGTAGGTGTGCACAGCTGTGCCTGGCAGCATGGCCTAGCTTTTCATGGATCTCCAGGATTGATGACTGTAGCTGTATAAACAATCCAGGTTTAAAGAAAAACTGTTAGTGAACAAAATAATAACATCTGCATCCTGCCATTCCAGGTCCTGGGAGAGTTCTGAATCCTCCATGAGAAGGGCTCCTACTCACTCTTCAAGGCCAAAGCACAAAGCCAGGTACACGAAGTCTCTCAGCAAGTACGGAGCGGCGTGAGGCCCAATCCCAAACCGCAGAGTCACACGGCCTTCTGAGAGGAGGCCCAGGCCCTGTGGTCATCCTTATGATCATCAGGCCTTGTCTCCCTTGGTGCCTGCACATGTGGCACAGCGAGGGCTTCCTCTAATTCAGCAGTGAACAAGAGAGCTAATACGGTGGACTCCTGAGTTACAACTGGCCCAACCTAGGAACAACTTGGGTTACGACCAGAATGCTAGCTTTTAATTTGCAGCCAACATCTTGAGTTACGACTAAATGCCAGCCGCATGTGCTTTCAGATGGCCTCAGATGCAGATTTAACCCTTAAAGACAGCGTCCTCTCCTGTGTGGGGTTCGCTAAGAAATCCCGGGCCGGGTGTCTCTGAGGGCGCTGAGAGCTGCCCGTGTCCAGGAGGGAGACTGTGAAGGCTGCGGAGAGGAGCTGAGCCTGCAGCTGAGTTACAACCAGCGCATGGGAACAACTGCGTTGGAAAGTCAAGGGTCCACTGTAACTTAGTCGCAAATCCGATGATGTGAGAGAGGCAATGACCCTGGCCATGGCTGTCCAGGTAGTGGCAGCCACAGGTGAGATCCGGACTCCAGAAGTACAGCGGGAGAGGAGCAGCAAAGGCACTTTCCTCGGGCTGGGAGAGGCTTGGGGATGTGGAGAAATGAGGTTCATCCTTGGGGGCTTTAGCAGACTGCAGCGAGTTAGTCAACTCTTGTCGGAGACAGAAGGTTTCAGAGGCCAGAGTTAGCTTGGAGTTTGGCCTTGGGTCTGAGACACGTGGCCGCACATCCACAACGTGCTGGCTGTGTCCCTGTTGTCACACGGGGAGCAAGACGCTCCTCATTCGTCTGTGACTGAAGCTAACGAGTCACGAGTCCTAAGCGTGTATCTCAGTTAATCAACAACCCAGTGAAATATTGTAGAGCAATAGTTTTCAAACAGGAGCAGGCTTTCCTAATCACTTATCCTTAAAACTACCTGGGAATGCCACATTTACAATACCTGCATGCCTACATTTACAATAACCCCTTTTCTGTATTACAGGTGTGTGTGCGCGTGCACACACGTGTGTGTATGTGCGTTGTACCCCAGCACCTCTGCGTCTTTCCACGGAGCATTACGGGGAGTAGGTAACATAAAAACAGCCAAGGTACCAAACTGAGGGAGTCATCTGGAAAATCCTTCAGTAATAAATCAAAAGTGTCTAAATCCTGCATTACTCGATCTCACATGTATTTGTTTTTAGGGACCGTTCGGAACAACTGAAGAGGTATAATGATGTTGAGTCTCACCAATGTAGCCGTCATGTTTTTTGGAAGCGTCAAAGACTGCGTAATATGTCCTGAATATTCCCCAGAATTAAAGTGTTATGTGATGTTCTTCCCGATTTAGCGTGTGCTATTCATCAATTAAAATGTATTTCATGAAATCATGTAAGGAAATATGAACTCCAAGGAAGTCCCTCCCCTCCTTCCCTTCCTGTTTGTTTCCCTTCCTCCCTACCTCTCTCCTTTCGGTCCTCCTTCCTTTCCTTTGGCCGAAGCTCGAACCCGGAGACTTATGCACGACAGGCAAGTGCTCTACCACTGGGCGACAGCCCCAGCCCTAGCATCTTATTATGATTTTCCCTCGAAAATGTTTACTGTTTCCTATTTCTTATTAAGGAAAAAAATGAATTTATCTGAAGTATAGTAAAAACTTAAGATGTCAACTTAAAAAAGAGCCCATGACATTATAGTCTTTCTGCAAGTGATGTCAGCAAAAGAGAACGGGATAAGAATAAGAAGGAGGGAGAGGAGCGGGAGAGAGAAGAGGAAGGAGGGAAGGGAGGAGGAAGAAGAGAAGAGGAAAGCGAATAGTTCGCTGATCTTGGTTGCTTTCTACTTAGTAACAATCACTGTTTAGTTATGTCTTTGCTGATGAAAACTTACCTACACACAAATACACAGAGGATATAATTTTATTTATTTGTTTTACTGCCAGGCACTCAGGGAAAGCTGGGAATGGTAGTAGCAGGGGATGCAGTATGATTAGTTAGTGTGATTCATTCACAACAGAGTCCACAAGATGAGATAATTTTTGAGAGCTTTAAAAACTGTCCATGCCAGGGCCTCACCTCGGCTATTATGATTCCATTAGTCTGAGCCAGTTAAGATGATTCTATGTCTGTCACTAAGTCGTTGGCATGTGATGTAATTCTGACCAATAAGAGGTCGGATAACTTGGCTGGGACTATATTTCTGGGAAAGTTTTCCTGTTGCTGAGAATGTGAAGAAACAAAGGAATTTTTTTTTTCCTTTCAAATCTATCTATACATAGAGAGCTGTGGCGGCCATTTTGTGGTCACCAGGGGTAAAAGCTGTGGCAGACATTTTGTGGTCACAAGGGGCAAATTTAAAAGTTCAAATCCAATACACCAAGATGGGCAGCACAAGAAGATAAGGAGATCAAAAGATCCTTAGGTTAGAAGAATAAAATGAACAACCCTGAAACTGCTTTTTCAAGGAAGACATGTCATTTCTAGTTAGGATCTGTTTCCTAAAGCTCTCAGCATTTTTAATTTTACAAGATAAAGAAATGGTGCACAGAGCGCTAAGCTGTCTATAGTCACACAGTTAGCGAGCAGACAGCCATGGCTTGAATCTGACGAAAACGAAGTGAGCCAGATCCCTGCCCCATCTGCCTGCCTCCGAGTCAGGGTAAGATGACTGGAGCCACACCAGGTATTCCGAAGCCAGGAAGGAGGGAACAGAACCAGGTGAGAAGGCAGAAAAGGCCCTGTCTGAGAGACAGAGTTCAGGGAGAGTACAGGACCCAGCCAGGGCTGTCTGTCCAGCCCCGAGGACGCCAGCATGAAAAAGTGGCATTCAGGACCTGGCTGATTTCTGTAAGGATTCTCAGCCCAGGGTGCTGGTGCACACTTGTAGTCTCCGCACTTGGGAGGCTGAGGCAGGGGGTTGCAAGTCTGAGGCCAGCCTGGGCTACTTAGCGAGGAGTGGGACGGAGCTCAGAGTGGCGGCTGGGGTGGTTCTCTAGCCCGAGGAGATGAGACGGGCAGGTGTCTGTGGTTCTCTGATCAGCAGTGCTCCCTCCTCTTCTTACCCAGGAAGGCCCTACATGGAGCAGAGCACCCAGCTCTGAGGAACAGAGGGATAATGGCTCCAACCCAATCGTGGAATTCATTTTCTACTCTGTGGGACATTTCATTCCCTACCAATTCCAATTCCATGGGGCTGGGCCGATTCATGGCAACCTATACCTTTACTGATTTATTTAGTTTTCCTTTGTTGTACCCTGGATTGTACCCTACCACTGAGCTATATTCATAGCCCTTTTTATTTTATTTTGAGGCGAGGTCCCACTAAGTTGCCAGGCTAGCCTTGAACTTGCGATCTTCCTGCCTCAGCCTCCTGAGTACCTGCAGTTATAGGTGTGTGACACTGTGACCAGCTGAGAGTCAGGCTCCCAGGTTTTGGCCAAGATTCCTTCCACAAAACACACAGGTCTGGCACCTTTCCTCACCAGAGGTCAATAGACTTTCTCTGTAAAGGGCCAGACGATAAGGATGTTAAGTTTAGTGGGCCATATATCCATTCAGTCTCTGTTGAAACCACTCAGCTTGGTGAGAAAGCCAACCAGACGCTATGCAAACAAGTGGGCATACTTGTGTTCCAATAAAACTTTATTGATAAAAACCAGCAGTGACCAGATTTCTCTTTGAGCTTCTGCCTCCTGGGTTAGACCAATCATAGTTCATCTCCTGGTCCTGGCCTCATCTTTTCTGAAGACTGCTGACTGAAAGCTGAACTGAAGCCAGGCATGGTTCAGTCTTGGGAGGCTGAGGCAGGAGGATCGCTGTGAGTTAGAGGCCACCCTGGGCTCCATAATGAATTCAAGGCCAGCCTTAACTACATAGTGAGATCCTGTCTCAAAAAAGAAAAAAAATGCTAAAGTGAAAATAGAGATTCTTGTAGGGAGGATGATGTAAGCAGTTACTCTTGGGTAGCTGTAAACTGTTGTGATTTAAGCCAATCCAGCGAGTCAAGATTCTTAGGGGCTTTTTGGTTTTGTTTGGGGGGCAGAGGTGAGTGCCAGGAGGGTATAGGGGCAGATGTTGTATCCTGTAAGGTGTTCTAACCGATCCACGCATCTTGAGCTCCATTTCACCAGTGAAATTCATTCCTAAAATCAAACTAATCAAACACTACACAAACGATTCCTAATCCTCACAAAGCATTTGCAGTGGGCAGCTTTGGAGTACAGACCCTATTGCCGTGGTGTTTTCTGACCATTCTTGGGCAATATGTGCATTTTGTTTTGCTTTGTTTTGTAGTCCAGGCTGGACTTGAACTTACTAGCCTCAAACTCCTGCCTCAGCTTTCTGAGTTCTGGGGTCACCCGGACCTTGTGTCCCTGATTAAAGCAGTTAGCTGACTGGTGCGTAGGCTCACTCTAAGAGCAGCTTGTCACTGATTACATGATGGTTTTATTTTATTTTATTTATTTGTTTTTGAGATAGGGTCTCACCATGTAGCCCAGGCTAGCCTTGACCTCACAGCAATCCTCCTGCCTCAGCCTCCCAAGTGCTGGGACCACAGGCATGCACCACCACGCCGGGCTATCTGACAGTTTTAAAAAGTAAAATGTAGATCCTGTCAGTGTCTCCCATGAGACTTGTAAGCGATGGAGATGACAGGGTTAAATTACTAGCAGAGTATTCGGAGGAAGAATAATGTTATTATCACTGGTCAGAGCACTTTTCAGGAATAAAGGAACAGCAGTGGGTCTGGTTTGGTTTTGTTTATGGCTTTCAGCCCTGTGACTTCCCAGGCCTTAATGTAACTTTCTCACTCTCTCCGGCAGAGGACAGATAAGGACAAAGCCATAGATGAGGAGATGGCTGGATTTGAATCCAGTGGAGGCCACTCGGGGAGTCCTTTGTAGGTTGGTAGGGAATACAACTGAAAGTCAGGTGGGACATAGTGCTGCCGGGCTCGTGCCCTGGAATTGTCAAGAAGAGCCTTGGACATCAGATGAGATTAAGACGGCGACGATTCAGCCAGACCGGCAAGCGAAGCGCTTAGTCTAGTGCCCGCACAGGCAAGCTCTGGGTAGACTGTCTGCCACTACAGTGGGCCCTTGATTTACCGACTCAGTCCCGAGGGCTGGTTGTAACTCAGGTTGGTCAGTGAAGGCTCAGCGCCTCTCCGCAGCCTTCATGGTCTCCCTCCTGGACACGAGCAGCTCTCAGCGCCCTCAGAGAGACCCCGGCCCGGGATTTCTCAGCGAACCCCACACAGGAGAGGACGCTGTCTTTAAGGGATAAATCTGCATCTGAGGCCACCTGGAAGTGTAAGTGGCCAGCATTCGGATCGTAACTCAAAGCCGTTGGTCGTAAGTAAAAACTAAACCACGGGCTGTAGCTCGTGGCTCGTGTGTCGGGCCGGTCGTAACTCGAGGGTTTGCCTGACAGCAGCCCTGGGGAGATCCCGAGGCTTTAATTCCTGCCCAGCTGCCCTGGGTCAGTCTGGGCACATATGGCCTGCTTGACACCGCCCTGGGGTTCAACCCACTGACCTGGACGTCAGGAACGACCCACCGGAACCGAGCGGCCGGGATCAGCCGGCGCCTTCTTCTCCGGGACCGGCTTCGGCAGTTACGGCGGTGCGGCTGCTGCGTGGGGCTCCACGGCTGCCCATGCGGGTCCCAGGGTGTCCTTCCCCCAGCCGAGTCATTTCCTGCAGCAGAAAGAGGACAACCGAGTCCCGTAGCCATGACAACGGCGCCGGCTGTCCTGGTAACCACAGAGACACGGAAGCCCGTCTGAAGCGGGGCCCCTGCCCGGCCTTGTTCCCCACGTCCTAGTCCTCCCTGGATGGTGCCGAGCACCTCCCGCCTGTGGTGGTCAGGCGAGGCGCTGTCTGTGGCCGCTGCTACTTGGACCCATTGTTTAAAGAAACTAGTGCTTCTCTTCTTTTTTTGCAAGTATTTCTGCTGTATTTCCACATGAACATATGGGCCGGTGAAGGAGGTTTCCCACTCTAGATTTTGTTTTGCTTTTTCTGACTCCTCTGGGGCTCAACATTTTCCTTTTTTTTGGTTTTTTGGTACCGGGGATTGAACTCGGGCCCCTTTCACTTGCAAGGCAGGCAGCAAAGCCGCTGAGCTAAATCCCTGGCCCAAGATTTTCCTTTCTTGATACACATAATTACAGTGTCCATTGACCTGTACAGAGCGCTAACACTTCTTTATGCAATGTTTTTTGGGGGGTGCCAGGGATCAAACTCAGGGCCTTGCACTTGCAAGGCAAGCAGCAGAACCACTGAACTAAATCCTGGGCCCGCAAATATATACATATATTTTTTTGGGGGGGGATGAAAAAGCACGTAGTTTTCTCTTTACCACTCATCCTTGTATAAAAATATTTGAGCCAGCGGACTCTGTCTGCAAATTAATTG